ATGATTGCCTTTCTCAATGGCTGGCAAACCACGTTGAGAATGCAAATATCAACACAATAATTCTTCCTTAATTAGTGTAAAGCCTGAGTAATGTAACCCAGGACAATTATCGTTAACCTGATCCTTCCTTAACAAGGATGAGACAACATCTGGCACGTAGGTACATTCCATCGCTCGCAACATCTGGTTGTCTATTAACTTACTCAAACATAGCTTGGATTTTTGTCTAGCGAATCCAATCAGCATACGTGAACTTTGATCAATTAGCTTCTGCCAGTTTCTGTCACGTAAACTGTTTTTATGACAATAAAAGGAGAGCTCTCACAAGATATTGAGAGTGCCTTCATAACCTTCTTCCTGCCTGTGTGTCTTTTCTTCATCACCACAACAAAGCAGGACTGGAATTTCTGTTGCTAAGCTATATGGTTTCTGTCAGCATAGCTGCCTTGTGCTCGTTGGCCCTGTCATCCTCACCACCCTGTGGTGAAAAGAGCCTTTCACTCTTTTCTTCCTGCTGTGGCTGAGGCAGAAGGCTTTCAAAAAGACAAGGGACAAATATGTTTCAGGAAGAAGGCCCTGCTGTTGGCTAGCAAAGGGCTAGTCTGGGTACGCCATAGCAGCAGTCACCGAAAGATGACTGTGAAGCTTAACTGGGGTCAGCAAGGCCAATTGGGTCAGTGAGTGGAGGGTGGCAGGGCTAGCAAGGGCAGGGCAGCAGGATCAGCCAAAAAGACAAGCGCGTTTCCATTTGTTTAGTACTACCATAACTTCAAATGGTTGCTAAATAAATGTTCATAACTTGAAGACTAAGAGTAATAGTTGGGATTGGAACTTCCATCACAAATCAATGTGATTGGTTTTTGTTATTAACTAAATTCAATCATAAGTTGGATAAGAAAGTTGGCAACTTTCTGCCAGCTTCCTAGTCTACTCAGTGGGGAAGCTAGCAGGAGGTTGCAAATTTCATGTGGCTTGTAAGCAGGCTGGCAGGCAGGTAAATAGCTACTATTGTTTGAGAGAAGACATGAAGAAGTGCATGAAGATTATCTGTCAAGGGTCCATTAGGGTGGACAATGGTGAATTGGGAAAGGTATGAGGGATATGTGAGAGTGGCAAGGCTTGGGTACGAAGTGTAGGGGTGATACAGCCAAGGCCAAGGATGGTGCACAAGAGAGGTGTGAGACTCAAAGGTGCACAGGGTGCCTGAGGCCAGTATGGCATGAACCGGGGGAGACTGTACAGTTGGCGGAAACTTACCTCAATAACTTGCAACCTTTCTTTTGGGCATCCCCTTGACTTTATAGGCAAGCCAGCAGGGAAGGTGGCAAATGGCAATCACATGACTGTGGGTTGTGCAACCAATCTGATGTGTGAGCCAGTTGCCAAGTGCCCAGATTACAATGACCATGGGGATGTGTAACTCCAAGAACTAATCATAACCAGAATTTCAGCTCTATCATAACTTTCAAGAATCTTTGAATAAGTCAAGATCTACCTTTACCTGTAATTTTGAAGGAATTATTTCTCTCTACAGGTAGTCCTTGACTTATGACCAGTTGAAGTTACAGTGAACTTAAAAAAGCATTCCCCCCCCCCATCACATTAATGACTGCAGTGAGTCACTTGATGACCATTGTAAAAACTATCATAAAATCAAATTTGGTCCCATGGTCCTTGACTTACAACTACAACAATTTACAACTAAAATTCCAGCTTCAATTGCTTACACTAAAATCAGTGACAGCAAATTAAACAATTGTACCTTTTAAAAAAGGCTAAACAGCAGCAAGAGAAACAAACACATTTAAAGATTATGTTATAAATGTAATTATTAAATAATAGATATATCCATTTTCAAATGGAACAGCAAAACCTACAGAATTTCAGGAACAGTTCACCATTAGGTCTCTTGATTTACCAATAAAAATTAATGATAGTCCTCATTAACTTACCTGTAATATTTGGGATCATCCCGGTCATCATCATAATCTTCTAGAAATTCTTTCAGACGTTTAGCTTCTTTTGCCTATGAAAAGTAAATACCAGTACGTTATTTCCTTAGAGCCTGTTTATTTCTAGTTATTGATGCACACACAATGAATTCACCTTTTGATGGACAAATTCAAAGGCAGGGTCCATTAGAGAGGAAAGGCTACTGAGTTAGAAAGCAGGATATTGTGGAGATTTACACATTTGGATAATATCATTATGTATGTGATATAAATTTACTGTACGGAAAAGTCCTTTGCATTACATTCTGGTAAATCAAGTTTCCATCATACCATTGACTTTTAAAATCCTCTGTTTTTAAAACCTTCCCATTTTGGGGAAAAGAATCTAAAAGGATATTAAATATAATCCCAAATACTTTAAGCCATTTAAGCAATCTACATTTGCTGCTATACAAAATATCTAGGAGCACACCTATGTTTACTTCCATATTTCTTTAACCATCCAAATCTTAATCTTCAAAGATCAAGACAAAAATATTTTGATGGCTAGCTGTATTTCCTGAAGAACTTCCTTTTTAAAATAAAAAGTATGTAAGTAGTTTTCTCCAAAACTATGGGAGAAACTATAACAAAACAAACTGATTAATATGAGCAATTGCAATCTGATAATCTTAACTTCCATTTTTCCATTTTGATTAAGTAAAGGCTTAAGTTCATTTTAATCCTTAATAATCATGTGAATCTCCTTTCTACAATTTGTCCCCCCCCCCATTTTGCCTGAAAATTAGTTTTCTTAATCCACTGAACAATCTGCTTTATTTTGATGATGCAAATTATGGTAATGATATGCAGATAAATGTAGTTATGCTACTAATTACCTGTTCAGCTAAGAGGAAAGCTTTTAAATGTTGAAGTGCAATGCTAGGCATGCTTATTTAGAAACATCAAATAATTCAAATGTGACTTTCTTTCTATTAAGTGTGCTTAGAATTTATTTATTTGTATCCAGACCTTATTATTTTTACAAATAACTCAAGGTGTAAATATATTCAACACACCTTCCTCCTCCTATTTTCCTCATAACAAAAACACCGAGAGATGAGTTGGGCTGAGAGTGACTGGCCCAAGATCACTCAGCTGGTTTTCATGGCTAACGTGGAACTTGAACACACTCTCCCAGTTGCCACTCTGATGCCCTAATGACTAAACCAAATTGGTTCTAAAAATAAAAAAATACTTTTTTGTCGATCAAAATGTTAAATTCCACAAAAATTCACTGTCTACATCTATAGTCTCACGTTACCAGATTTATGGTTACATAAATTATTTTTGTAGGCTATAGGCCAAAAAATTAATGCTTTCATCTTTAACATGTTATTTAGAAAGAAATATTATTTTAGATGCCTACTAAAAATAAAGAGGAACACTATACATTTTTCTTAGGATAAAGTCAAAGATACAACATAGTAAGAAGGAGTCTACAGAACACCTTAAGTTTTAAATTAACCATAAGGGACAGCAAGCATGAGGAAAATATGCAAGTGGAAGCTATTTAGGTAATACTTTCAATCTTAAACTGATCATATAGAAAATCTTTCTTGGAATAATCAGATTATATGCAGTCACTGCAAAAGATGACAAAGGGATTAACTGCCTTCCTCAGCCTGCATGCATTCTTCATCTGTGGAACAGAATAGCTGGATTATAACCAGCCTCTATAGGCAATGATTATTCTGGCTACATTTAATGGGAACTTTTATCCAGCATATCTAGAGAGCATTATGTTGGGAAAAGATAGATTAAAGTAATATTCGGGTGGAAACTAAAATGATGCTCATTCTTTTGTTCTCTAGAAAGTTGTTCCCTGGAAAGGGTCAATTTAAGTGTACTAGGGAAGATTTGTTTGTTTGTTTCCTATGAAGCAATGGGAAATACTCTACATGTATAAAAGGTCCTAAAATTGACCATAATTTTAAATAGAATATTTGTGAGCCTTTTCCAAAGCTCATATCGTAAAACCTAGATAAATATATGCACATACTGATGCTCAAGTAAAGCTTTCAATTCCATGTATACTGAAAACTCCAAATTTATTTATATTGCTGCCTTAGACAAATAAAACATTCACTATAATATTTTCATATCCAGACAAGAATTTCTGTGTTTTAGCAATAGCAATAGCAATAGCAATNTAAACCACATATCCCTCAGAGAGAGGTACTGTAATATTACTATTACTATATTACACAATATTGCAAAATAGTAGCTTACAACAATTAAATGAGAAGGATAAGGCGCACGCGTGTGCACACACACGCACACACACACACACACACCAACCACACCAGGAAAGGGATGCAGACTTGGCAGAAATATACAGAGAATAGGTTCAGAAAGATCTCAGAATTGCTGAGACAGGTAGCCCTCATTTAATCCTAGTTGAGACTGGCAACTCTACTGCTAAGAAGTCGCTAAGTGGAAGATCACATGACTGTGACTATGCGTTATGGGTGGAAAGAGACTACTCAGTTTCACTCTTTCAGCTTTTGTTTGCCTGTTAACTGTCTACAGAGATTTTCAGTCATCCAAACCATAGTTGTCTCAGAGGTGCTTTTTCAAAAGGCAATTGTTTTTTCCTTGAGGAAGAAGAACAAAACATTTCATTTTTACAGACAATCTCTCGTTTGTTTGATCCTTTCCTGCTGCCAGTGCAATCACATTGCTATTGATGGGTACAAGAGCAAATGGCTTACTCTCTTGAAATCTCTTCCCCGGCAATATCTCTGCTCTGCTGAGAGGATGGGGAGGAGGGTCAGCTTGAATGGAGCACTATAGAGTACTTTAAAAACCAACATAGCATTTTCTGCATCCCGACAAGCATGAAGAATATATGCAGTGTACTGACATACTATTGTCTACAAATATATGGAATCATAATATGTATTCTTAATTCAAAAAACTTTCTTACCCTTTGTAATTCTGCATCTGGATCTGGATGTCCTTCTGCAAGAAGACGTTGTCTGATTTCTTCTAATTCTTCCTTTTCTCTCTTTCGATCCCGTTCATCTGCTTCCATTTCCTTTTCCCTGTCTCGCAATCGCTTCTGCAGAGCACTTCCCCTGAAATAAACAGCACATTCATTTTGATTTACAAATTCACCCAATCCCAAGCTTCTCCATTAATATTTGTTAAACAAAGAATGAATCCAACTCTATTCAGAATCTGGATTAAGATTGCTCTGTTTGATCAGGCCAAAAAGTCTACTTCTTTGAGCATTCTGTGCCCTGGTTTATATAGTTTATGGTAGTTTACCAATCAATTGCATTTTATTTCACATAATGTAGTCAAATGTTGGCTTAGTGCAAAATATGAATCCGATGGCTGCCATATAGTGATGAAGCAGAAAATTTCCCAAGTGGAACTTTGGGGAGACAGCAAGTTATTTAACCATCTTAGATTTTGAAGGGAGTGTATAGCTGTGAAGACATTGATGCTGAATCTTTCATTATGAATTTTCATCTTTAATATCTACAGGTAGTCCTCGAATTATGATGGCAAGCAGTGTGGAGATGATTGCCTTTCTCAATGGCTGGCAAACCACGTTGAGAATGCAAATATCAACACAATAATCCTTCCTTAATTAGTGTAAAGCCTGAATAATGCAACTCAGCACAATTATTAACCTGATCCTTCCTTAACAAAGATGAGACAACATCTGGCACGTAGGCACATTCCATCACTTGCAACATCTGGTTGTCTGTTAACTTACTCAAACATAGCTTGGATTTTTGTCTAGCTAATCCAATCAGCATAAGTGAATTTTGATCAATTAGCTTCTGCCAGTTTCTGTCACTGTTTTTATGACAATAAAAGGAGAGCTCTCACAAGATGTTGAGAGTGCCTTCATAACCTGCTTCCTGCCTGTGTGTCTTTTCTTCATCACCACAACATCTGGTGACCCCGACGTGATACCCCCTGAACTCATTCGGACAGACGAGCCCATGTGCACCTCAGCGAACTTCGCTTCCAAAAATTCGTGAGTATGGGGCGGGGGGAGGAACTGTCAGTTCCGCAGAAAGTTCATGCAAAAGAGCTGCAGAAAATACTTATAAATAATGGAACAGCAGGAATTAATTTAAGTGATTTAGAGCAGTTAGTAAATGAAATAGGTTGTCAGTGCCCATGGTATCCAGAAACAGGAAGTTTAGATTTACATGACTGGATAAAAATTGGCATAGATTTGTATTCTCCACCATGAGCAACAATACAACATTTGTTGCTGTGGCAAAAATATAAGGAAGCAATTGAGGTTTTGAGGACTCATAGATTCAAGGCACCCTCAACATTTCTCTCTTTGCTTCCTGAGGAGGGGTCTGCTCCCCCTCCACCATATATGCAGCTGACTCTCCCGGCAGAAGCTATGCTAAAGCCAGTGGAGCTTAGCTCCCCTACTGCTCTCTTATCTATCACTCTTTCACAAGAGTCAGTTAGTGAAGTCAGAGCAGGATTTCAGGAAGAACAGAAAAAAGGAACTCTCACTGGGATAGAACTGGCAGAGGGTCTCCAAGCTTTTCCTGTCACACAGTCAATCCACAAGGGCAGGCTCACTATCAGTGGAATCCCTTACCGATCGCAGCTGCCTTAAAAAAAGAAAAATTTGGCTCTAAAGTTTTGGCAGGACATCAGTTGACCACTGAGCCTTCACCTGATTATGATCAAGTAAAAATTCTTCCCCTAAAATCATCTTTAATTGAACTTTCAGCTCCTCACAGAGAGGTTAATTCTGCTGCTTCTCCACGGTTCCCCATGGAGGAACAATTAGGAAAAGAGGAGGGGAAGAAAGAAGGTACGTTTTTTGTTTGTCCACCTAAATTGATTCCACAAGATCATGAAGTAATTGGTTTAAAGGATTACTTTTATTCTATCCTTCTTTGCCTCGCTTTGCAGGAAAAGTTTGATTGTACTGCTAGTCAGGAAAAGTCTGTTTTCTTTGTGCCTGCTGCTTTCCTCCCCCCTACTCCTCTTCAGGAAGAGTCAGTGCTGGTTAATGGCAAGCCTCAGTATTTCTGTAATATCAGGCAAAAGGTTACTGAATCGTATCTTGGTTTTGTTAACAGATTGCAGGATGCTTTAAAACAACAAATAGATAATTCTGAGGCTCAGATGAAGTTGTTGATGAGATTAGCAAAGGAGAATGCTACTTCCAAATTCCATCAAGGGTCGAAGCTAAAATCAAAATCTCCAAAGTTATTTCGTTGGTTGATTTATACATTTACTTACTCTTTTTTGATTCAGATTTTTGTAAGCGTTATCCATTGGCTTTGGTATATTATTATATGGATGATATTTTAGTTGCTGGATTGCTACAAGAATCATTTATTTATTTAGGTCACAAGTTATTACAGACATATTCACACCCACAAATTCCACAATCGAAGATAGGGGATAAAGTCTCCTACGTTCGATTACAGCAACTTTTGGGTTCAATTAATTGGTTGCGACCATATGTAGGCCTTCCTACTAGCATGCTTAGTCCTTTATTTGATGCATTAAAAAATAAAAAAGATTCATTTGAATTGATAACACTTACCCAAACTTAAAAAGCGGTCTTCACAAAAATGAATGAAACATTGAAATTGGTCTGGGTGGAAAAATGCCAGGAAAATATTCCTTTGATAATGATTACCATTCCAACCAACCACCTATAGCGGTATTAGCTCAGGAAATACAACAATGAAGCAAGCATAAGCCTTCATTATTAATAATTGAATGGCATTGAATTGATTGTGATATGTTTAACCAGCTATCAGAATAAATAAGCTTCTCATCTTGGGCTTGAAGCTGTGGGGAACGGGAGCATAGTTAGGATTTAAGCTGCTCTCTGAGTTTCCCCACTGCTTGGAGAATGAGCCACATGTTTTCCAAGGAAAGAAATTTGAAGATTTAAAGGGACAGAACCTCCCCCAGGCCTGAAAGTGTTGTTCCATGGTATGTGTGCATGTATATGTGTGTGTAATCATTTCCAGACTTGAAGGGAAGTTGATATCCCTTAATAATATAAAATGCTTAAAGAAACGGAGAAAGTTATTTTGGAGAGGGAGAGGGAGAGGGAGAGGGAGAGGGAGAGGGAGGGAGAGAGAGAGAGAGAGAGAGAAAGACCCCATTCAGAATTATGTTGCACTGGTGGTCTCATGAGTTGGAGTCCCGGCCTCACTGTGTGTAATTTAAAAAGAAAAAACTAAGCCTGGATTGCACATTACCTAAATTCAATTTGGCCTCACTAAAATAAGAGCTAGAGCAGGTTCAAGAACCATCCCTTCGAAATGGGCAGCCTGTAATTTAATCATGGCTGTGAAGAATTTTGGGATTTCTGCTTGCTTGAAACCTGTCTGGAAGCTCACAGAAGAGATATTTGATATTAATTGGCATGGAAAATTGGATACTGTAAATTTCTTTCCAGAAATTGTGCTCTGGTTGCTAGACCTTCATGGTAGAAAGCTCTGAGAGCCACTGAAGGGATCCTTCTGCTGTCTCAATGCCTTTCCATCAGAAGCATTGAGTCTCCCTGGAATATCCTAGGAAATGTTGAAAAGGCAGAATATTTCTCTGGATGTGACAAGAAAGAAACATGTTTTAAAAGGCAGAATAGCTGCCTGCAGCTTCCTGCCCATTCCCCCTCTTTGTCAATGAATCATTAAACCCTGAGCTAATCCATTTTAAGTTGGTTGTTAACTTAAGGATTTTTTTTCTTTAAAGAGCGAGTATCAGGAAAGGGGGGAAGTGCAGCTTGGCTTTTCTGCTCCCTTTAACAATTTTTTTTTTCTCTTTACCCTTC